GTTTGGTCTCCCCGTGACCATGGCTGCTGTGAACGCGGGCCGTGATTATAATTATTTGGAAATAATTTTTATTAATATACATCGCGTTTTAAACCGGTAAAGTGTTTACTTTTTATTTTTTAGGTTAAATTACAATTTTGATTATAATAAGCACTTATAGGGTAATGAGAGTGATTAAGCAAAACCAAGCGCTGGATCATCATCTACTAAGTTTTTTGTAGCAAAGTTTGAAAGATCTATGAGTAATAGCGTAGAATATTATAATCGTTGTGTCCCCAGAGCGAGAGGAGACTAACGAATCTAATTAGTCGCCGGTCAGCGACCGCGCTGCTTAGCTAGCAGGACTAATGTTTGTGCGGTCAATATTCATAATTGAATGATTTTAAACTGGGAGCGATTAGTTCGCACCATCGCACCCTCGTCCGGCTTCAGGGGACTTAGTCGAGCAGGGGTTGATAACAGATTCTAAGAGCAATTACGACTGAGAGAACTGAGGAAACAAGCAGTTTAGTTTTAATATGTAATATTACTGTGTCCTGTTATTTTTTATTGCTCAGTTCAATTAGTATATGAATTTTAGCTTCCAAATAGCTTTTATTTAGAAAAAGGTAAAGTTTTGTTAACGTAGGTCATATTTTTAGGGCCTACGCTCGAATAGCAGTACATAGTTTTTATATACATGAAAATATGACACTAATATAAGAAACGAATACTTTTTCTGGTTGTGCGCATCTTTGCGTAGGGTTGCGCGCCCCTGACCTAGCCGGCAGCAGCCCGCATGTCAGAGTAATATAGCAATTATAATAAGTTGTCGACGCCGACCGATTGCTCTCACCATTAGTGTCCCGAGTGTCCGCAACTCGTTTCCTACGATTTCTACACTTTTCCATTTCCTCTTAGTGATTTCAACTTTTCATATTCTTGTTTGCGAGATAACAAGAAGGTAAATTCATAAATTCAACCCAAACTCGTTTAAATTATTGTCGTGGGTAACTTGTGCCACTAACAAAAACAAATAAGTTTGTGTCTAAGAAATCCTAAAGATAAAACCTCAAACTTTATTCTTACTTTAAAGACTATCTAACAATTGTCTTCGTCGACATTTGTAGTTAGTTAACCGCTCAAGTCCACCCCAATTTGTAACCGTAGAGTTACCCTCTTACGTTAAGGGCCTTAATAAACCGTGATATAAAATAGTCGTGTAAGCATAAACACTAACCCTTCAACTAGATTCGACACAGTGGTCACTGCGACCGAAACGGATTGAACTCTATGTATCCGTAAGTGACTAGCGTGAGCGAGATGGTAACGATATTGGTATCAACTATAGACGTCTATTACGGCGACGGCTAATATAAATAATGTTTCTAGTTGACATAAAACTAAAAAAGATAACTTAAAGATAGACTTAAAAATATGCAAAAAACTACTCCGTTTTATAATATATACGAAAATAATAAATCGCCATCCGCTCGTGTTTAGACCATGCGTGCTTGAAAGATAACCCTTTCAAGTTCAACAGGTCAGCGGAGCCCGAGCTCTGTTTGTCGAAAGCGTGATGGGCGTCGGGTCGAGAGATGGATGTTGTGGCAATTAATAATAATCAATTGAATGTATCCTCGTAAATCGTCAATAACGCGCTGAATTATAACCGAATTTATCACTGGTTAAGCCATTTATTTCAATCGGGTTTAAAGCTGAAATGATAGATCCAGATCTACGTTCTTATAGTCAAGGTTATTGGAAATCAGTTTTAAGAAAGTCTTCCCGTGATCGTGGCTTGCATCTTAAACGTCCGGCTGTAATTAAAATAATTATTAAACAAGTTCAACAAATATATACATATCTCGTTTTAAACCGTTTAAGTGTTTCATTTACACTACTTCTCGCGTAAACTACACGTAGTATTTAGAGAAAACTTTTAAGCTGCTAGTAGCAGTAGACAACTAGGTTTGCCTGTAAAGTATACAGAGGATTTTAGGTACTATTAATGCACGTCTCAGCGATTTTCTCATGCGAGTCAAACGACGAGCACGCCCTGATAGCGTAATTCCGTGTTATTGGCTTAACAAACGCTGAATTGGTAGTTTTGTACACTTAAGCAACACAATTAGATCTGAAAGCCTCAGCTCAATTGCGATTCAATGCGCATTGTGTTCGCCTTGGCCACGAATGCTCCCCTATCACTCTCTTGTCTACCGTACCTACATGCGAACTTTTTCCCAGAGCGACGATACCTCTACGATACTGGCTATCTAGATATGCAATATGACAGTTTCAAATATACTTACTTACTTACTCCGCTGGCGCAGCGACCCAAAGTGGGTCTTGGCCTTCACAACAAGGGAACGCCACTTCCGCCGATCCTGCGTCACGGTTCGAAATATACAGAATACTTTTTTATACCAAGGAATTCGTCTGCACTGTTTACGTGAGTAGTTAACGCGAATTGTATTATTTAAACTTATTTACAAATTATGGTCACGGAGAAACACCATGGCTCATACAAAGCATCTGAAACGTCGGGTTTCGTTTTGAAAGCATTCATAACGAGAAGAGTGTGTTGAACTAGATTTAAGAGCAAACTATGCTCTAGAGTCTAGATATTCTATGTTTTAAAAATCGATTATTAAATTGAAAAACTACTCGGGCAGGGCTCGATCTGGCTTTCGCATTAAGCCCGAGTCTGGAGATTCTTTAAAAAAATTCATAGAGTTTTCAGATTTTGATCGCATTTGCATCCTAAGAAATTACGAAACGAGTTTACTTTAACTGAGTTGTGGTTGAATAACTAGATAAAAAGACTTATTATTTTCTTCAAGTATTCGTCACTTCCTTAGTGTTAGTTTCGGTTATGAGTAACGAATGAAGCCGAATAAATGAAATAATGACAATTTATGTCCCTCACACACGCACTCCGACGTCCCGCATCACTTTCCGGGAATCGAATAGATTTAACTGCTATTGTTGTTAAGAAATCACATTTCGTGCAATAACAGTTATTGCGTCCTCAATATCGTTTACTTGGATTTCGGAGATTGACGAAATGGTGGATCTAATCAATGTGTTTATTAGAATTATTTATTTTCTTATATTAGGTTAATATTGTCAGTGCATTTACCTTATCGAGCTGCAAAAATCGAAACTGCGCAGTCGAAATCACTAATATTATATGTAAATGTAAAAGACTCCACTTTAAAACACAAAAAACTAGTAAATTGATTTCAATGATACTTAAAACTTTTTGCCTTATACTATATTTCACTAATAAAATATGAGAATATTTCCGAGGGTTATTCTTTTCTTGGGTAGTTGAGTTTCTTCGCGATTCAACAGCTGGATTAGATTAGCGCGCGCTGTCAAGCGATTTTCGTGTCACTCGTGCGCGTCTAATGTGCTCAGTTCTTAGTTAGATTTGGGACTGCTAATCGCGAATAAGTACGTATAGAATAGTTATCGTTTTGTAGTAGTTCCCGCTAGTTCAGAGCTTTTCGAAAAAATAGTGTACAAAAATCAATGTGCTGTGTTGACATAATGATGATGGAAACATCTTTTGGCGTCCTTAATCCCGATCACTATATACAGACAGATACAATGAAAACGTACGTAATTCAGAAGACGGCGACTGGGCCAGAGGTATGTGCTTAGATAATATTCTTACCTACTAGTTAGCCATAAATTGCGATGAAAGTGTGTATCGATGTGTATTCCGCCTTTGTAATACAATTATTATAATTCCTCCTATTATGTACAGACACCCTTATAAATATAATTCAATAAATCGCTACAAATGTTCGTGGGCTTGATTCCCGGATTGTAACAATCTTGTGATTCGATACATGCGGGATGTTTGTGTACAATTTACTTCAATCTCGCTATTATCGAAAATTATTAAGACAAATTAAGGAACTGATGCGTAGTCGATCTTTTGTTACGGATTTCTATACACTTCGATCTATTTTATGTAAACTTACAAAATGTACCTAGCTAAAATCCATGCGTAACTGCAAAATTTTATAAGAATCAATGTTTATATAAAACACTTTAATCGTTTAAAACGCGATATATTTTAGTTAAATTTGTTTGAAATTACTTTTAACTACGGCCCGACGTTTCGGATGCTTTGCAGCAGCCGTGGTTTAAACCGTCAAAGTGTTTTATTTAAACGTGTACTACTCGCGTAAACTACAGACAGTATTTAGGATTAATGTTTTCCACTAATATTAAGGATTCTAAATGACCAACTCTATTTAAGATTTCAATTCAAGACCACACACCCACAGTACACATCTAATTAAATTGAAAACAAGTTAACTAATATTACGGGTTATAAGCCGTTTATAGTGTTTTATTTTAATGGTATTACATCTTGTCTTAAACTCTAGAGTAGTCTTGCGTGGTGCAAGTAATTAATATAATAGCATTAAACAGGATAGACCCAATTGTGGGCCGGAAGACAAGACCACCGACTTTGCTGACCTCAAACTAATTATTCAATTTTTTAATTTGTCGACTGGCTACTAGGATTGTTAAGGACCACAATATTTTTATAATGTGGCGTGAGACATTTAGTGCCGTAGGGATAAAAGATTATAAAAGAGCAGTAAAACCGTTTAAAACCTAACGACAACTAATAGGTACATAACACGTCACTTGATATTTTAATGCAAAGCTGAAATTACATTACGGCATGCGCGAGAGGTGCATATATCATTAGGTTCAGAACACGATAGCTCAATTAGCTAGAGCAAGCAGCACGGAACGCGCGGATGCCGGTTCAAGTCCTGCTCGTGTCGTTAATTTTTGTTTCCAAAAAGATTTTTTATTTATATTGCCACTTCATTGAAATTGAGTAACAGTTTTATTAAATAAAAGCACTCTTTTAAATTGGACCGTATAGAAGCCGTGTCGGGGTTTTTTATTTGTAGCAGCAAAGTTATGCTAACACTTTCGTATAAGCCACTTTTAACCGAATGAAATCGGCTTCCGTGTTATTGTAAATGAAGCCCGTAAAGGCCGAACGTTCGGATGTGCCGATGGCCTATTTGCATAGCCGTTTAGAAGACACTCAAGTGCTCGACGCGAGTTTATCCATAATTCCCGAATTAAGGATTGACTCATTCGATTCCGGACGAGAGCGGCCGCGGCACGAACCGCGTGTAAATGTTTACGCCTCGCGCCTGCTACCACTCATCGTTTTGACAGGTCACACGGACGTACGGGCAGACAGAGCACCGTACATTGCTCGCGTCGCGGGAACTATAATCGTCTCTACCCGCACCGTACAGAATCGAGACTGCTCTGTAGGTCGCTAGCGATTTCAGGCGTTCTAAATCACACCATTCATAAATCTCAACTATTGACAAACGTACTATACTAACAGTGCTGATGTTCGATTTTAGATTGCACTGCCATAGACCCAGAGTCGAGTGTAGTCGACGCGTCGACGTCTTCATACGTTTTCATGCAGTTCAAACGAGTTATATAAGTAAGAAGCCCGATCGGAGATCAAAGCGGTTCTGATATGCGCCGACGCGGCCGGCCGTGAGCGAATCGTCTTGATACTTAATTAACTTATTATACGTCTTATAAATTATTCGATATATTTATTTTTCATATTCATTACTCGTTTTATTAATACGATGACAGTTTAAAGTTTACGCTTCGTTAAGGAGTCGCGATGAGGAATGTTTGAGGTTTTGCTCTGTTTTTGGGATTTAAGTGGTTCTTATAATTCCGTTTGAGATAAAGACGATACGCAACTGTGCGTAATTTCTTAGTTTAGGTACGGGTAGAACAAATGGTAAACTTTTATAATTTGCCAGTCAGTTGAATAAACAATTATTGTAGTTGTAGACAGCAAAATAAAGCCCAAGGTCAATCAATTCCATATAATTATTTCATGAACGTTTTTACTACACTTTATTTAATTAGAACGGAACCGAACCGCATGAGCCTGTCTCGATCGATCCTTGAAAATCCATGTCGAAGTCGATATTCGATCCTGAAAAAGCTTCAAAGCCATTAGACCGCTGTACATTCAGCATCTCTTTGATGTGGCCGCTGTTTACTCCACGCTCCGTGTTTGCTATTAAACAAACCCACTCGATCGCCGATAGCAAATGCTGTGCCAATATGCAGCACCAGAACCGACCGCTTCCACGGCCTCCGAGAAGGATGAAAGGCAAAGGAAACGACGCATTGAAATCGCCAGCTAATTTGCAGGTATGCTGTTCCCGTTTGCGCTTTTACTGAAACATTACGATGGGGCGAAGATTGTCCATATACTTAATAATATATAGGCAATATATTGTTTTACATCGGATACATGATATTAGAAATAGTGTAAAACTAATTAAGCAAATACATTAATAAATCTAATAGCTGAAAACAAATGTTATAACGCAAATGTCGCCCAAACTCCAATAAACGATACGACAGTTGTGTCTAATAGTACACAGAATACGATAAGTGTAATGGACGTTTTCAGTCCGCTAAATCCGTAGCTACGTGAAAATTTTTGTAATTACGAGTATAAAATAAACTTCAGCTTGTCGCACTGTTCTAAAAACTATTTTTTTCAATTTTACATTCGCAATGTTTCGATACAGATTCACACATTAATCATTAAATCTTGTTCTTCTCGCCGTCGTCTCATTGGATTCGTCACACCTCTGTTGTCGAGTCTAGACGAAAGTTTTGAAAATATAGATTTTCCGCGATTCTGAGAAACGATCGGTTTCCTCTCATTAATGTTTATCAAACATTTGTGGCCGACGCAACATGTAGCCGAGTTTGTGCCAACACGCGATATTGTGTGTAAACAAAATGTTATAGTTTCTAAGTCAATGAGTGGTCCAATTTATGCGCAGACGCATTTAAAGTTCGACTGATTGTTTTGTTAGGGATTAGATAAAGTATATACAATGGACTAAAAGTTTATACCAAAACCATCTATCGAAATGATAAAATAACGTTTGTGCTATTGAATATTAATACACTTTTCTAAATCTACACTCATCTCGGCGACTCTAAATGCTCTCGAATCTTATGCCTCGGACCGCGTCGGCGTACTTCGTCCGCCTTTGAAGTGCTTTCGAGATATTTACGTAGTGTTTGTTTATTTTCATATTTGCGGTGGCCCAGAACTTATAAACTACTGTACAGTTGCCCAACTGCATAACTCATTGCTTCCGAGATTTCTTAGCTGCGACCGCGCGCAAGGTCACCGCCTTCGCTCCGTTTTCACTTCTATGGGCTACATTTTCGTTGATTAGGTTTATTTAACTTTTATGTGCTGTTTAAACGCATTTAGTGTTTGTACAGCAAACTACAAAGACAGTATTAGTTTTGAAATGAAAGGTGTTATGATTTATATTATTGAATAACATTTATTGATGTTAAAACAGATAAAAGCGATTAAAAGCAACATCAGAGGATTATGTAAACGAACAATTTCGTCCTATGAAACGCGATGTTTTTTCAGCGATTGTAAATCTGTCGATAGGATCGCATGATGGGCGTTTCCGACCATCAAAGTGTACGGGTTGAGAAATTCAAACGTCTGTGTCACCACCCACCGAGCAATATGCTGGTAATGTTTTGAGCGAAAGGCAAAATGCATTTCTTCGGCTGGTTTTTACGGCCCTTCATATTTACCGTCTGATCTCAAAGCTTCAAAACGCCGGTTACGGTTACTGGTACCGGTATTCAACTCACTTTAATATAGAAATTAGAATTGTGCTACATATACATATAAAACTACCTTCTAGTAATAGGGTAATTTCCTTTATAAGTGAAGTATGGTGATTACTTATATATTGAAACATAAAATATTTTTTATTAAATTAATACATATTTGATTATGCTCAAGTTTGCGGATGCGTCTCTGTATTTATTCCCATGAATTACCATTAAGTACTCTTGAAATATTAACTTTTTTATGTTTTATTGAAAAGGCCTCAAACGAGCGGCGAAATCTCTATATAAAAAGACAATATATTCTTGTTGTTTCAACCGAATGTAACGGAAATCGTTGTTTAGTGCAATTAAATCATTACAGGAAGTGAGTGTTGTTTACGGATTACTTCTTGCTACACTTTGATCAAGCTCACCATTACCCGCGCCCTCTGCCGCCATTTTCTTTCATGTCGGAATTTGTTTAGATAAATCGTTTAGTCTACATTTTTTCTTAAATATTTACCATTAGTGGGCCAGGAATGGCTGCATTATGAGCGCTAAATGCGATACAAGTTTAATGATTTTGTTTAACTTAAAGGCGCTCTTTCGTCGAATCATAATATTTTGAAGTGATGTTTTTTTTTATGAAATTTGTTATCACAGGAATCATATATTTCGTTGGCCTCGTTTTCTTCACGGTTGCATCATATAGCCAGGTGTGATAGTAGTGGTTGAAGTGTGTAGTCAGTCGCTTGGTTCTCGCTTGTAAAAATAACCTAAACAACCAATTAATGACATGGGCACAGAAATGTGTTCGCCATTTTTTATGGAGAAAAATGGCTGTAAATACGGAAATAAATCGATTGGTCCATGACCAGAACACAATACCCGGAAATAACACCCGGCTTACGAACTACAGTCCGATTCGGTCTCATTCTAGATGTCCCAACAACCATCCAAGTCACAGAAAAGCGATCGCTCTCCCACGGAAAAAACTCAACTCACCTTGAATTTACAATAAAGTGTTTTGTATAATACCTGACACTTCTAATATGTAGAAATAATGGGCATTGGGTCGTAACGCACAGGTCCCGCGCCGCTGTCACGCTGCGCAGCAGAGCGCGAGCGACGTCTGACTCTCCGCTTTGTTATTTTGACGTTTCTTTAAGATCTGTATAATGTCATACGTCGGCGCACTCATGCGCATTTCGATTTAGATCTTAACGATAGCCGATGCACCGCACGTCCGTCGAATGTTTTGAAGATTACTAATGCTATATCTTAAATATTGGTATACGGATGTAGATATAAAGAAACCGCCATTAATCTTTCAAACTTAAATGAGCATAAGATTATTCAGAATTTGCAGAGCATACGCCTTATCAAGAAAATCCAAGAGTCATAAAGCCAATACATTTGTAGATGTTTTTGGTCTTAACTGTAGTTATTTTGAATCGCAGTTTAAATGATGAAAATGAAAATTCATAAGAAATTGGCGCATGTAATTAAGTCGACTTTGGACGGTTGAGACTCGTTTCAAAATCGTTAATCTTGCTTTATTTCCAACGCTATTAGCAACGAAACGAATATCGTCGACCTAAATATTTTTAATTGTTATTCGTAACAATACGTGAAGTATTTTGTAGATGCGGCGATAAAGGTGGCACCGTCGGGCCGCGGATTGGGAAATATTTCCTGCGCCGCGTGATGGATGGCGCGCCCCAATCGGGCCGATCGCAGTTTAATGCTAATTCGCTCGCCGAACGACTCCTGAGCTGGGGCGCGTTGCTCGTACGATATAAGGTTTAATAAAGTACGTGGTCTCCACTCCAGAACCGTTTTTGCCCAACTTTTGTACTGTCGTACGTTCGATATATTTCGTACAGTATATCGTACCTAAAATTGGATACTTTGGAAAGTTGTATATTATAATTCTTTGAGTTACACAAAGTATAGTACATATTTGAATCAAACCAGTAATTGAATCTTGAAACTAAACACTATACACTGTTTTTGGTTCCAAATTTAATAACATAATGTGCATATTGTGGTTACTTGCAAACTCTATGTCGAATTTAATTTCCTAAAATGTATCAAAAAATTCTCGCTCTATCGCACTATTTTAAACCAGAAGACGTTGAAAAGTCGAAAAAATAATTCGTCAAATCGATCATAACGTTTCGATTGTTATCGAGATGATGAATCGATGTCTACTGGCGGACAACTAATTACCATCTCTACGCCAACTGACTGGCAATATAGCGGTTAGATAAAAAATATTATGACATTGCATACAATGTAAATATTAGAAAGATCAATTTTAAAAAGATTACTGTCCTTTGTTGATCGGATCAGGTATGTATTAGAAAAACTTATCTAGACTACACAGAATGCCTTCTTACTTATAAAATTTAGACATAACTATTCGAGTTTTTTATTTAGTGAAATAATACGTGCAATCGTCGCGGTAAATAAATAACTCTACTACTAACAATCTCTTGTTAAAGCCAGTTAAGTCACCGAGCTGCTTAAAATTTCCAAATAGCGTTCGCCACTAACTGGCTACTGATTTGAATGTGAAAAGCCGCTATTACGGTCGCGACGTCATTGTTTTTGCCCAAATACTCGCTCGTGATATATTGTTGTCATACTTCTTCTATTTAAACAAAAACATGAATTAGTGCGTGTAACGAATGCCATATGTTTGAGTCATTTGTTTTCATAAATATAAGGAGTCATTTGAATAAGAACTGAGGAACGAGCTTCGTTACGTATGTGCGCCGTTTTCGTCTCGAGACCCACTTGGGATGTGGAAAAATTTCCATTGTTGGTGTTTAGATTAGGAAAGCAAACATTTGCGTCATAAGACATATACGAACATTAAACCCAAATTATAATATGTTTTTTGTGGCTTGTTGTCTATTCGTATAAAAGTATTAATTAAAATAGGGGGAAAAGTCTTCTGAGTAGATCTACGTAGCATTAAAAGTAGGATCTAAAAGACTGGGAGAGATTTTTTATAAATGTTTGCAGTTTTATTGTTCTTATCAGTATGTTAAAAGGTAGCTCGAATGCCTTAAGAGTGAAGACGGAGCCCTGTAGCGAAACAAAGCAGCTCAATAAAGACCCGTATTGTGTTTCGCTACGGAACTATTCGTGAAATTTATTGAAAACAGTTAACAGTAGTGCACGGGAGCACAATGGCTCCGTGATGCGGACGAAATTAACAAAAAATGTGAAATCAACGCGTGAAATTCAGAAGCACACCCAAGTAGCCAAGTGCGTTGATAATTACGAATAGGATTTTTTCTGAATATAATAATCACGTTTTCGGGGGTAGTTACGTATTTTTGGGTATTTCGCGAGTAGATCATTGCGAGCTATCAGTCGCTTTTTAAGCCACTAACACAGTTGCGCAGTTTATATTTTGATTGCCAAGCATGCGATAGTTATTATTTGGTTATAGTTTCCGAGAGTCTAGTGCGTTCCCGAAAATAATGACGTATCTTAAAATCAGTGTCCTGCGTGATGACGTATAGATGTATACTTTTGTGGGTGCCCTTAATCCTTATTACTACGGCACGCCCACCTGACCAGAGGAACCTAGTTAGTCATATGTTTCGATGAAAGTTTGTATCGCCGTTTTTACCACGTTACGTTTTCGTGATACAGGATCATTAATTCCTATAGCTGTAGGAAAATAGATTAGCAACATGATTTAACTGTTTTTCGAAGTCTCTCTTCTTCTCAGTCAAAGTTATTAAACTTCTTCCTACTCGTAGACAAAAATTGTAATAAAATGAAATTGGTTTATAACCAATTGAAATCTGGTAAGTAGGTATGTAACGTGAATTATTGAGTTAACTAACAGGCACTGAATATAGCATCTTTTTCCCTAGAGGAACTATGCAAAGTATGTAGCAAGTAGATAACGTGCTTCTCGTCCAAACAGGACACAAAGGCTGTTAACACATGCGTATAATAAACTTTTTGAAAGCACGCAGAGAAGCGATGACGAAACTTAAGGCGTAACGAATTCGACAGAAGCTGCCACTGCGCATAATGAAGAACAAAAAATCACACTAAATCAACATTTGCAATGCTTCGATTTCGATAGATCATCGCTTGTCTTACGACAGGCCTTTGTTTCGTGTCGAGAAAAGAACATCTTTGTACGTTTACAAATTAGATAACATTCGTTTGCTTAACTTTTACAACTTTTCAATCGTCGGCAAATACGGGTATGAAAGCGGGTTTAAATATATATTTATGAACGTCACAATATATGTATTATAAATTATGATCATTACGAACATTATACTTAAGGTAATTTTTGGCGTTAGGTAGGTACTGAACCTTCAGAAGCTGTTTAAACGTAGATTATCTTTTAATTAAAGAAACGGCCGCTTTAATAATGTCTTGCACAAACGAAAGAATACAGATGTCGTCCCGCGCAATTGTTAATCAGGCGAGGCGCGAGATGTCGTGTCGCGAGGCGATAAATAAGGGCGCGGGCGCACGCAGCGACTCATTACAACCCTGATATACGATCTGCGATGATAATATGAAAACAGCAAATAAACGAACGCAACTTTTAATTGAGATCTTATGGGAACTGCGATCATTTTAGAATCCACTCAACAATGCTTTATACCTGATTATCCTTGTTATATTCTATACTAGCTGTATCGGCGACTGTGTCCGCAATGAATATTTATTTTTTATATTCAAATTTGTTTTTTTAAAACCTGTTCGCGTCCTGTCGTTCTTGCAAGTTAATCTTAAAAGATAGACACATAGTGTTCGAATATTTTTTGTAGAAATTTAAAGACAAGTTATTCTTTCATACGTATTTTTTGGATATTTTTAACCGCACCAATCTTTAAAGATAAACTTGCAAAAACGACGGGACACGGACGACCACGGGGAACAGCTTGTTGTTATATATAATTACAATACAAATGTAACAACAAGACGAATGTTTCAAAATCGCGTAGAATTAATCACTGTTGAACAAAACATTACGAACACTGCGAACCAGCTTGAGTAACAGCGACAATGCACATGTCTTCTGCGAAGCGAAGAACAAAGAGGCCCGGAAAGCGAACGGTAGTACGAGCTGAGTCCAGCCATTAGAAGGATAGCGGGGGGCGACATAAATCCGCCGCACAAAGGTCGTAATTGCGAAGGCACGCTCGCCTTTTTACTCGCTCGTTACTTCGCCTGCTGGACGTCCGTTCGTGTTATTGTGTTTTACATTCCGAAAGCATTTCAATAATCATCAATACATTATATACGCGACTACCTCCGTAGCTACATGGTTCACCGCGTTGCACGGCATTGCGTTACCTTAAAAGCCCCGGGTTTACAGGGAAACGATTTTTTTTTTTCAGCTGAGCAGTGCATTCGGATCAACCATCGTTAAAATCATTTATTTCGCCCCATGTCCCAGAGGGGAC